TGACGAGTAGTAGTAACATAGTTTTCCAGGATGATGAAATGGCAAAATGTTTCAAGATATAGGAGAAATAAGATCTGTAAGCTCCTATAATGCAATTATAAAATGGATCTCCTGGACTGATATGGTAATTACAAGATAGTGTGTAGGATTTCTTTCAATGACACTAAAGGTCAATAAATAGCAGTGCTTACAATTAGTTAGAACTACTGAAAAGGAAACCAAAAACTATAATTGAGTATGATGAACTAAGGGTTATTAAGGTAAAGCTGTCTGGGCCTCCCATTATATATTTGAGAAGTGGAAGTGGGTTATAAGTGGCAGAACCACGGATTGGAATGGTGGGTCAGATATATGTAATCTTAGCTGCTGCTTACCCCCAATTGGTGTCAGAAAGCAAACTAAAAATTTGAATACCAGTCACTTCCTTATAGGCTCCTCTTTGATTGATGGTAAAGTGTAGACATTTAACTTTCTGGCAACTTTTAAATTGTACTTGATTACTTAATACGAACAAAACAGTGTTATTCCTGATAGCACTGCTAATGGTGAGTTGGCATAAACTTTGGCCTCAAGGAAGGATGATTTGTTCAAAGCTTCTTTGGAAGCAGGATGGACTTCCACATCCTAGAATCTAGTGTTAGCACACGCCAGTCTATGACGATGAGAGTGAGTTGCTCTTCAGATGTCAGGGCAAGGTCCAGCTAAGCTGTGTGAGACAGTGAGCCGGTTACAGATGCTGTCAGCGTATCTTCCTTTTGAGAATATGAAATGCCGAGGACTTGGTCTGTTAATTTTCAGAGAGGACATTGCTGTATGTGTTATATATTCATGGGGCTGATGCAGCAGTTGTACTTTTCTTTTTAATACAGTCTCAAGTCGAATGTGGAAATTGTTTGGAAAAATTTAAAATGAATATTTCATTTGTGATTGTTCAATTGTGTAAGACTTCAAGTATTTCGTTTCCCTCAGCTTCTCCTAGCTTGGTAAATAAAGATCCATAATGAGTATTTACTGAGCACCAGGCATTTGTGAGGCACAGGAAGAATGGGTTATTTAAGGGAGTCCTTTTGTAAAATAAAGATTTAAAAATCTCCTCACATGACATTCTGTTTAGTGAAGGTCACTCAGTCATGTCTGACTCTTTGCGACCCTATGGACTTAGTTTACAGTCCATGGAATTCTCCACACTGAACTACTGGAGTGGTAGCCTTTCCCTTCTCCAGGGGATCTTCCTATCCCAGGGATTGAACCTAGGTCTCCCACGTTGCAGGCAGATTCTTTACCAATTGCGCCACAAGAGGAAGCCCAACAATACTGGAGTAGGTAGTCTATCTCTTCTCTAGTGGATCTGCCTGATCCAGGAATTGAACCAGGGTTTCCTGCATCGCAGGCGGATTTTTTACCAACTGAGCTTTGAGGGAAGATGACTTTCAGTTTAACAAATAGTTAAATATTAAGATCTTAGGTGGGGCAAGGAATAGGAAAGTGGTAGTTGGAAGATGCTTGACTATAATAATTTTGGCACGAAGAATATCTTAGAATTTGATACCTTTTATAAACACCTAATTCCTAACATTTTAACTTTCAAAGTAAAAAAAAACCACTAAAGTTGAGATTGATATTACCAATTAAGCTGTTAGTGCAAAACCAGCAGTGCAAAGCATAGCAATTGTGGAAGAAAAAAGGGGAACAGGTAAAAGAGTATTTAGGAGAGGAGGTAAACAGAAGAGGCACATCTCTGTGAAACCGTGAATCAGTGTGAAATTTGCTTTTTATTCTTCTGGTTTAACAGCTAAATTAACTTTTAGTCTTAGATGTAGCCACCCTTCTAAAAAGTCTCTGAGACTTGTTAGTCTTCTGACAAGTCTCCACTGTGCTTGGCATTGTGCAGATATCCTTAGACTGAAATTGATAACCAGTTCTTCCAAGGGCGTTTGTATTAATATTTTAACAGGAAGTGGAAAGTCAAGGTTATCTGCGCGTGTGTTTGATTTGGCCTGCAGTGTTTTAAACTAGGGGTGATTTCACAAAGTTTTGAATGTTTGGCTTCTCTGTACAAAATGTAGTATATTTCTTTGCTCTTTTAATTCCCATGTAGCTCTAGTTTGTTGGAGTTGGTTAGATGCTGCCCTTTCAGACTGGCAGGCTTTCTTGAGTTTGCCACAGACTGTCACTGCCTGTAGTTTAGAATTCAGCTCACTTTACTCACTTGCATTACTTCAGGTGAAATATTTGGGTTTCTAACATGTGACCTTCAGTGACTGCGCTCTGGTGGCATTTATCAGCTGAAGAGAGGACTTACGCAGACTCATTGGTGGTGACAGTGGTTGAATGTCATAGTAAGCACCAAAAATTATGCTTTGTAAGCTACTACCAGTACCACCTGCACATAAATATTTCCTTTGGGAAGTGAAGAAGTTGTTCTTCAGTCGCTACATCGTGTCTGACTCTTTGTGACCCCATGGACTGCAGCACTCCAGGCTCTTCTGTCCTGGCTCTCTCCTGGAGTTTGCTCACATTCATGTCCATTAGTTGGTGTTGCTATCTAACCATCTGTTCCTCAGCTGCCACCTTCTTCTTTTGCCTTCCGTTTTCCCCAGCATCAGGGTCTTTCCCAGTGAGTCAGCTCTGCATCAAGTGGCCAGAGTATTGGAGCTTCAGCATTAGTCCTTCCAGTGAATATTCAGAGTTGATTTCCTTTATTTGTTTGCATTGTTCATTTAAGAAGGCCTTCTTATCGCTCCTTGCTGTTCTCTGGAACTCTGCATTCAGTTGGGTATATCTTTCTCTTTCTCTCTCGCCTTCACTTCTCTTCTTTCCTCAGCTATTTGTAAAGCCTCCCCAGACAACCACTTTGCTGTCTTGCGTTTCTTCTTCTTTGGGATGGTTTTGATCACTGTCCCCTACAATGTTATGAACTTCTCTCTGTGATTCTTCAGGTATTCTGTCTGCCAGATCTAATCCCTTGAATCTGTTTGTCACCTCCACTGTATAATCATAAAGGATTTGATTTAGGTCGTACCTAAATGAGCTAGTGGTTTTCCCTGCTTCCTTCAATTTAAACCTGAATTTTGCAATAAGGAGCTTGTGATCTGAGCCACAGTCAACTCCCCGTCTTGTTTTTGCTGACTGTATAGAGCTGCTCCATTTTCGACTGCAAAGAATATAATGAACCTGATTTCAGTATTGACTATGTGGTGATGTCCATGTGTATGGTTGTCTCGTGGAAAAGGGTGTTTGCTATGACCAGTATGTTCTCTCGACAGAACTGTTAGCCTTTTCCCTGCTTCATTTTGTACTCCAGTCCTCTATGGTGAAAAGGATATCTTTTTTGGGGGGGGGTGGTTGGGTGTTGGTTCTAGAAGATATTTTATGTCTTCATGGAACCAGTCAACTTCAGCTTCTTTGGCATCAGAGGTTAGGGCATAGACTTGGATTACTGTGATGTTGAACGATTTGCCTTGGAAATGAACCGAGATCATTCTATCGTTTCTGAGGTTTGTACCCAAGTATTGCATTTCGGACTCTTCGTTGACTATGAGGGCTACTCCATTTCTTCTAAGGGATTTTTTCCCACAGTAGTAGATCCACTGGTCATCTGAATTAAATTCTCCCTTTCCTGTCCATTTTAGTTCACTGATTCCTAAGATGTCAGTGTTCAATCTTGCCATCTCCTGTTTGCCCATGTCTAGTTTACCTTGATTCATGGACCTAACATTCCAGGTTCATATGAAATATTGTTCTTTACAGCATTGGGTTTTACTTCCACCACCAGACACATCCACAACTGAGCATCATTTCCACTTTGGCCCAGCCGCTTCATTCTTTCTGGAACTATTAGTGATTGCCCTCCGCTCTTTCCATGGGGTTGCAAGAATTGCACACAACTGAGCAGCTTTCCGGGGAAGGCAGTGGCACCCCACTCCAGTACTCTTGCCTGGAAAATCCCATGGACGGAGGAGCCTGGTGGGCTAGAGTCCACGGGGTCGCTATGTGTCGGACACGACTGAGCAACTTCACTTTCACTTTTCACTTGCATGCATTGGAGGAGGAAATGGCAACCCATTCCAGTATTTTTGCCTGGAGTATCCCAGGGATGGGGGGCCTGGTGGGCTGCCATCTATGGGGTCGCACAGAGTCAGACACGACTGAAGCAACTTAGCAGCGACAGCGGCAGAGCAACTTTCACTTTCACTTTTCCCCAGTAGCATATTGAACACCTTTCAACTGGGGGAGCTCATCTTCTGGTGTCATATCTTTTTGCCTTTTTATACTGTTCATGGCAAGGATACTGGAGTGGGTTGCCATTTCCTCTTCCAATAGACATGTTTTGTCAGAACTCTTCACTATGACCCATCTGTCTAGGGTGGCCCTGCACGGTATGGCTCATAGCCTCATTGATTTACATGAGCCTCTTCGCCACCATAAGGCTGTGATCCATGAAGGGGAGTTAGAAATAACTCAACCAGTTTCCTTAAATGACATATAGTGGCTAGCCCCCAGTTTTAGGTTTTTATCCTTAGTTTAGTGGATAATAAGTTATTTAATTAGTGAAACTCCCTAAATCTCTGTCCAGATTTACTTTTGCCTAGTTTAAAAAAAAAAAAAAGCAGAAAAGCATTTTGGCACATCATTTACTTTTATCTTTCTATCCAGGAAAGTTTACTCATTAGAGCAAGACATGAATATCTGAAGAAAGAAGGAGTGTTCTATTTAAGCGTTCTTAGGTAACCAGAAAGGAGGATTTTTTTGGTTATTTATTCCTTTATCATATGTTTAAAAGAGAACTTTGTTTCATATGCAGCATATTATAAGAAGCCTAGGTCAACACAGTGAAAAAAATTTCAGAAAGCTTATTAAATGTTTCAGGCATGGGGAATACAAAAATGATTAACATTCAGATAGCCTATAATTTATCAGTTTTAAAACATACTTCTGAATGTAAGTCAATGATTAATCTCAGAGACTTCATAGCCTTGGAAAAAACGAAAAGTATTTAGATTGGAATAGAGTTTTACTTTGAATCGGATTATGGCACTTGCTGGCGAAGTTTGAAATTTAACTCCTGTCTAGAAGATACTGTAAACCCTCAGAACAAAGGAGGGGACTCAGGTGAGTAGCCAGAAGATCTCTGAGCATGAGAAGAATGCAGTGCTGTGATAGGAGGAGTCTGAGGTTGCAGGGGTGATGTTTAGAGGAGTTACTTTCTAGGTTTTGAAACAGTCATTCAGAGTTTTGAATGTGCTGTAGAAGTCCTCCTGGTAACAATATCTAGTATTCCTCTAATTGGTAACTTTATTGGCAAAAAGTTTCATTGGCAAAAAGTTAATGCTCAAATGGGAAGTCAGTAGGAAAAACAGAATTCACATTATAAAGATTTAAAATATGATCCTGGAGTGCATTCTTCTGAGAAAAAGAAAGATACCTGTACTAGTGTGTGGCATTGGGACTGTAAACCTAAACCTGTAAAACCTAAAAAAATCCCAAGCGTTGTCAATGCAGTAATTGTCCATTGTTAAACAGTAGTTCAGAGTTACCTGCAGGATTTTTGCAAACTCTAAATACTTTGGCCCTGCTTCAGACTTAAGTGAATCCTAATCTTAATCCCTGTGTAGATACCACTGTCCTGATGAGCAGAGTTTTTGAGGACCATTTGCATGCATGTGTTGGATCGGGATTAAGAGAAGAGGAGAAAAGTAAGAGCCAGATAGGTTAGGTGACACTGGGACTCTTCTCACTGTAAATGGCATGGATCTAATGACCCTAGGTCATGATTTGCTTGCTTTCAAATGTACTTCCTGGAGTATTATTAATGTTGGCCATTCCTTCAAAATGAAACATCCTCTTTAAAATAATGGTTTCTTAGCTTTGTTGGAGGAGGAAATGACAACCTACTCCAGTATTCTTGCCTGGAGAAGTCTATAGACGGAGCCTGGCCAGCTATAGTCCATGGGGTCACAAAGAGTTAGTATTTTCTTGGAAGAAAGTTTGAGTTTTTCAGGCAGATCTAAAAGTGTTCTAATTATTTGCATATCTTTGCTCTTTTAGCATATATTTTGAAAACTGTTAAGGTTGTTGGAGCTGAGAGAAAATACTGTGTGAGTTAGATTTTTTGGTAAAAGTTTTAAATGCTACAAATGGAGTAAAATACTAATTTTGCAAAAAAGGTGGGAAGATGAAGCCAAATTCCCATAGTAACCTTATCTTTGCCTTCACACAGCTGTATTGTTACCCTAGTGGACTGTGTGGTTTAATGCTTTTTCCTGATAACTGTAGAAGCACATAGGATTCTTTCTGTTTCACTGGGTATGAACTTTAGTGCTGCTTTCCCAGTAAGCTGTGTAAATATGTGGTCTCAATATGTATCTCCAGTTTGACCTTTATATTTTCTATTCCTGCCAAAATTTGTCCTTGCTGTGGTATCTTGCTACATCTGTTGCAAACTCTTTCCTGTCCCCCCACCCCCTGTCAGAAATGTCACTGCTCTGAAACTTATTTTGTCATTTTTGTCTCTCCATTGCTGACATTCTGCATTATTTTCTCCCCATGTAATTCAAGCTGTTCAGGTTCCCTCAATTTAGTTTCTAACTATAAGCTTATTGGATTTCTTTATTTTTGTTTTGCAAAATTAAAATAACAACTTGCTAAATGCTTTTCTTATTAGCTGCATGTTTCCTTTGAAGCCAGCCCTTTTCTGAGATAAAGATTTGACACTGACTTGTTTTCGTATTTCTTGCAACAACTCTTGTTCTTCTTGCTCATTTAAAGGCGTGGCCTGAATGTAGGTTGTTAGCTCTTCCCTTCTCACCCTCTCTCCAACATTTACTGAGTAAACTCTGTGTCAAGGGACTCTTAACTGAACACCTAATGTATACTGGGCACTACCCTAGCACTGGGAATATAGCAGAAAATGAAGTGGTCAAGTGTCTGCCCGTTCAGGGACCTTATGTTCTTGTGGGAGGAGAGATCAGTGTATAAATATGTAGTGCGGCAGATGGTGATGAGCGCTATGGAAGAAAAGAGGAAGGGGAGCAGGGAGTCCTAGACGGGGGGTGCCGGGGAAAAGGGCGCGTGAATATGTAGGTTTCCTGTCTTATGTAGGGGAAGTCATTAGGTAGAGACCTAGTCATGTGGTTACATAGGGCACGGCTATCCAGGCAAAGGTGACAGCAAATGCAAAGGCCCTGAGGCTGGATAGAAAGTGTTCAAGATGTGTTCCAGGACCAGCAAAGATGCCACTGTTGGCTGGTGCAGAGTGAGCAGCCAATAAAAGCTGGAGCCAGAAATAGGGTTTTTACTCTTGATGAGATGAAGGTCAGTGTAGAGAAGGGTTTGTCTGATGATATTAGAGTAGTGATGTGATCAGACTTAGTTTTTAAAGGATTACTTGGGCTGCTGTATGGGCAAAGGAGGATGCAAAAAGACTGTTTAGGAGATTATTGCAGTAATTCAGGTTTTAGATCATGATAGTATGGATCAGGGCTGTGGAGTTGGAAGGAATTGTTAGTAGCTTTGGATACACTTTGAAGATAGATTTGAGAGGATTTTTTGGTAGAGTTAAAGATGACTCCAGGATGTTTGGCTTAAGCAACTGGAAAAATGCCTTTTACTGAAATGAAGAAGACTGCCAGAGAAGAACTTTTGATGGGAAAATGAGGTGAGTTTTGGACAGATTAAGATGCTGTTATATTGCGCAAGGGCACCAGAAGTTTTTTGATAATCATGATTCTTTGGAATTAGCTGTTTGCTTGGTTAAAAACAACAAAAAGAGTGATCTGCATATACATAACCTTAAATTTAACTTTTTTTTTCTTTTGCTTGCAACTCTGTCTTCCTACTGATGAGAATCACATTTTTTGTTGTTGTTGGAGAGCATGCTATGGTTTTCTTATCAGAAATATCCATGTGGTAAATTGGAGAGCCATGTTAGTGTTTTGCTGTTTGGTATGAATGCCATTTGATTGAGTATAAGAGTCTAAATTCAGAATTGATTTCTGTTAGATAGTTCCAAAATGAGAAAGCAGAGAAAAATGGGAGGAGGGTCAAAGTAATAATGAAAGAAAATTTCCAGTGTTAAAGACTGAGGTTTTCAAAGTCAGTAGACCACACCAGATAGTAAGATAAATGAAATAACACCTGATACAAGATAAAGTTTGTTAACAGATTAAAAAAAAAATGCAGCCAAAAGAAATTCCACACCAGGTTCCGTACTTAAGGAGAATGAGATAGCCAGACTTTCTTAGCATCTTTGGATGCTTATGAATCAATGAGAGGATGCCTTCAAAGCAGTATATGAAATATCAGTATACGAAGAGTAAAACTTTAGATAAGGTGACCAGAGAATGCCATTTAAGTAAAAACCTGAAGGATGTGAGGTAGGTAGCCATGTAGCTATCTAGGAGATGGACGCCCTAGGCAGAGGGAACACAGGTGCAGAGATCCAGAGGCAGCAGTGTTCTTGATGTTTAAGAACAGGGGGGAGCCAACGTGACTGCAGCAGAGAGAGTGGACGGTGAGTGATAGGAGATGAAGTCCCGGGTGAGGGGCTCAGGTCATATAAAGGCTTGTGTATCGTGACGAAGACTAGCTTTTACGGAATGAGATGAAAATCCATTGAAGGGTTTTGAGCAGAGTGGTAATGTAATCTGCTGTGCACTTTAGCAGCTAGAGTGATTCTTTCGTGTTTTGACATGACTAGGGGGCAGGAGCACTGGCAGTGAGGAGGTCGCGGCAGTAATCCGGGGAGTGTTCACGACGGCTTGGATCAGAGTGATGATAGTAAGGATGATGGAAGGTAGTTGAATTTGGAATCTTATTTTCAAGGTGGAGTTGGCAGGATTGCTGGCAGGACAGATGTGGGCAGAGAGAGAAAGGGGAAGAAAGTAACAGAGACCAGGGATCAAATCAAGTGTGACATTAAGCTTTTGGGCCTAAGTAATTCCTGAATGAAATGACCACAAACTGAATTACTGAAGGCATGGGGGTGAGGCAAGAGTATTTGAAGCTTACCTTTAGACATGACTTCAAACCTTTTGATCTTTGCCAATCTGAAAAGTGGGGGTAAGTCCCATTTTAATTTTCATTTCTCTTACTTTGAGTGAAACTGAGCACTTGCATTTTCTTTATTGTGACCCATCTGTTAATTAATTTGGAGAAGCATTTATCTCTTGGGTCGTTCTTTTTCTTTTGATTTGTTAGGATTCTTTTTATAAATTAAGAAATTAGCTCTTTGTGATAGTTGTTGAAAAAAATCACCCTGCCACAGTTGTTTTTGTTTTTAAACTTTGCTCCTGGTGTTCAGTCTTTTTTGAGGGGGAGGGGGGTATCCTTCAGTTAATCAGTCTTTTATAGTGTCAGAGTTTGGGTCATACTTGGGCTTTCACCCTAATGTCACTAGAAACATATATATGTGTGTGTGTGTGTGTGTCTAATGCCATTAACTATGTATAAATATAGGTATATGTATTTGTAGTGTTTCTGCAATTCTGTTTGCATTTAAATCTCTAATCCATCTGGATTTTCAGTGAAATGCTGTCCTGGACGATGGGCTTGTTGAAGGAATGCTCTGGGAAGTCAGGATTGTCTGTGCAGAGCCTCAGTGCTTACCAGACAGAGCAGGTCTCAGGAAGAGCTTCAGCACAGGACCCAGTGACAGGGACTAGCCTTTTCTCATAATTCTCATAGTTAGCAGCCTTTGGGAGGATTTGGTTGACTATTACCTGCTCAGGGAAGTAGCTCTCAGGCTTTTGGACTGAATCTGCATCATCTGGAGGTCATGTTAAAGTACAGACTACTAAGTGACACCTCCAGAGTTTGATTCTCTAGGTTGGTGTATAGCCTGAGAATTTCCATTTCTAACACGTTCTCAGGTGATACTGCTGACAGCATTTTGGCATTGAGGTTCTGGACTTATGGTCTGGAACCAGAAGGTCTGAGTTCAAACCCCTGGCCTGGTATTGACTAGCTCTGTGAGTTGGAGTAGGGTTTTGTTTGTTTCTTGTCTAACCTCTCCCTCCCCCTCAAGCCAGATTTTCCTTTCCTTGAACCAGGGTATGTATTTCTTGAAGCTGTGGGAGCTAAAAAAAGATACTGTGTTTGAAGTAGTTAGGATC